AAAGAAGGAGGAGGAGGAGAGAGAGAGAGAGAGAGAGAGAGAGAAAGGTAGAGAGAGGAAGTTCTGGTATAACTAAGGAATAGATGAAGAGATGTGTAATTTAAGAGATTGCGACTAAGATGAATCAGAATGATCGATTCCTGTTTCTTACTTTGTTAAGTTGAATGAATCTAAAATTATCATAATGTTGAAAAATATAATTTTAAAAATTTCAAGAATTTTTAAAAAATTTCAAAGAATTAAAGCACAAAAAAAGTTAAAATATAAATTTTGGCAAATTTATGATTGCTTAAAAGCGGAAATGATAAAGTAAGCGAGAAAAGTGATGGATGAAAAGAAGTTAGCTTTGGTTGTTATTTAAGGAAAACTTGTTTTTTTTACAATAGTTAAAAAGAAAACTAAAAGTGAAAATAGCATATTTTCAATGAAATTGTAAGAATATAAAATACAAATCAAGCATATGCTAATATGCAAATGGATTTTACGCTTAAATTAACTCTTAAAAAGTTATTATGAATTAATTTTCTTTTAGTAAAAAAAAAACTTTAACAAAATAAAATTCAAAAAAGAATAAATTTCACGATGAGAAAGTTTGAAATTTGTAAAGGAAATGTGATTTAAAAAGGTTTTAAATGCTGTGGTTTCGATCAGATCAACCAGTTATATTGATTTGCTAAAAATTCAAAATATAATAAGCTAAAAAATTCTTGTAATTTTACTAATTAATGCAAAATTTTGACAAATTTGAAAATTTTTACTGCAGCTAAAAATTTCGGTTAATTAATGTTTAGCCCATATTTTAATAATAATTATAATGTAAAATAAGTCAAAATTTGTTTCAGTGTTCGAATTACAATTACAATTATTGCATAAGGAAGTTTTCTTTTTTTTTGGATAAATTATTACTGATATTTATTGATTTTAAAATATTTAATTGTACTTTTTAGCTGATCACAAAATTTATAATTTACTTAGGTTTTATTTAATAGGAATTTAAAATATGATCAAATTTGAAAGAGATAAAAATGATCCGAAAATCCAAATTATTCATGTAATCATTGGAATGATAAGTTTGATTAAATTATAACAAGTTTGATTAAATTATAATTTGATTAAATTAAATTTTTACTGATTTCCTTTTTGTCAAATATACTCAATTTTAAACTCAATTATCATAGACTGACAAGTACTAATTTCCTTTTTGCCAAATATACTCAATTTTAAACTCAATTATCATTTACTCAATTTTAAACTCAATTATCATAGATCCTTGAATTTACTCTCTTCAGCAATCTTTCCTCTTCTACCCTGCAAATTAGGAGAGGTTGCTGAAGAGAGTCAATTTTCTAAACAAGTAATCAGTGATTTAAGGATTGGTGACATTTGTATAACTGGAATTGATTTATTTGTATATATACAAATATAAATGTGAATAAATATGCATATAATGATCAAATTGGCATTACTAAAATCGATGTATAATCATTTACGAAATAAAAACTGGTAACTATTGAATGACGAGTATTCCGGAAATCTCTCCTCTAAATGACAGATATCAGTTGATGGTGTCATCTTTGATGATGCTATATATTTGTGAATACAAAATTGTGGTTTCAATGAAAATTTGTCTCAAAACTAGTCACCATAAGAACTAGACCTGATTTTGATCAAACTTCCGGTTTTCCATCCTTCCTATCTACTGCATCAACTATCGTCCATCATCGAACTTATCGTTTCTTGTTTGCATTTAATTCAAATTAGAAAAGCTACGATACATGATACAAAATGTTAAGAAATGAAGGAAAAGAAAATTCAAACATATAAATTTGTTTGTATTTTGAAAATTGATAAAATGCAAATTTCTTTTTCTTCTCTAAGATTATAATGTAATGTTTGATATTTAAAATTTAAAAAAAAATTAAGATTTCAAAATTATGATGTGATATTTGTATTTAAAATTTTAAAACTGTTCTTACATTTTCAAATTTTCATTTCATTTCATATGCAAAAAGTAATCAAAAACTTTTTGCTTAGTGTTTGGTTTTATTTACATATTAATTTGTTTATTTATTTTATTTAAATAGAATGATAGTTAACAATGAATTTTTGTTGAAATTTCAAAATTTAACGGTACCAAAAAATCCGATAATTTTGGAAAATAATTTAACAATACTTCATTTCACGACGAATATTTCTCTTTTTTTTTTGCATAATTTTAATATTTTATTTTTTTTAATGAATTAATTGTACGATATTTGCTTTTGAAAATCACATATTTATGCGAATTTGAACGATTATTTAATTAATATTTCATTTTTCAAACGTATCGTATAGCACTGTAATTCTATAATTGCATCATAGCGTCTTGTTTTAATCATCTCACGACATCTGCTCTTATGTTGAATCGTATGTGACACATCTTGTCATCAAATTTGGTCTTTCTACGACAAAACAACATTTCAAAAATTTGATAATAAAATTGTCATTAGCACATTTCATGCTTTTCATATTTATTATTTTATCATAATGGAGCAATTAACAGCTTGTTGGAACAGGAATTCAAGACGTACGCTTGTAATTCCGGAAACTCATCCATCATGATTTTGGAAATTTTTGGAATTCATTTCTATTCACTCCAGGGAAATTCACACTTTTGTGGTAAATAATAGCGGGAAGAGATTGGGGTGAACTTGGGAGAGGAGAAAGAGCAAACAAGTTTACCGATGATTTGAAAAGAGCAACCAGCAGGGGACAGCTGGATACGGGATAGAAGAAATCGCCTACAGGTGAGGTTGGTTGTTCAAATTCTAACTGATGACACGTAAATTGGAAATAGTTGTGTAACATGAAGAGAATTACAACAATGCAGAAAATACCGGGTCCTCTGTTATTTTTCAGGAATTCTCATCTCTACAGAA